TCACTTTTTTTTTTTTTTTTTTTTTTTTTTTTTTTTGCACATAAATTGGTAAATAAATAAGTGTATAAACGTATGTGCAACAACGCAGATGTATTAACACAACGTTAACGGAAAACCCCGTCACCCATGACCCGTGCAACGGCGCTCCTGTTTTTTGTTTCCCCTGCATGTCGCACGTTTGCTAATTTGCAACCGCTCCATGTGGTTCCATGAACCGAATTCCACACTCGTGACGTGATGTGCTCTTGCGATTAACGTAAAACTCCACGTTTGTGCGTGCTCGTGAATTGCAGAGAGGCGTGTGATTTTCATTTTAATCGTATCGCTTATTTCTGGCTTAATTTCATGTGACACAATTGATTCAACCGATTGGGTTGACAGGGTTAACAGGGTTAACTCTACATTGATTGGATTGATTTATTTGATTCATTTTAATTTACATTTTAAATACACTTTTGAAAAAATATACATATATTTTTTTTTTACTTTTTTAATAGATGTTTTTTTTTTTTTTTTTGAAAAGAGTTAATAAAGCCAACTTTGATTTACGCTCAACAGCATTTTTTTTTTTTTTCTCCATCGTATTTTTTTTTATACATGTGAAAAGTGTAAGGTTTTACATCCCAAGTTCACGTTTCAAGTGAGAGCTTAGCTTTTGTGTGTTTTTATAATTTGTGTTTCGCCCATTGCGGCATATATAAAATGCTATATATATTTTACTCGTAACTGGTGTTTACTGACCCGAATTGGTGCGCTGTTGCACTTGGGCTTATGAACTTCATTTACAAGTGGAAAAGTGGAAATAGCTTCTTCTCCTTGTGGAGGAAAAATACGTACAACGCAACATAGAGAAAGGAGCGCAAAAAAAAAAAAAAACAGGTATATTACATAATATGTACGTATATTTTTATTTATATATAGTTATGTACACTTAATAAATATATAAAAAGATACTAAACCAAAACAAAAATACGAGTGCACGGCCGCGTGACGGGCATATTCGAACCGTAGCCGTGGCAGCGGCAAGCAGCAACGTCGTTGCGCCGGAACGCGTCTCACTGCGGAAAGGTGTATGCTCGCACCACGCACGTGGTGTATTGTAGTGCTACCTTGTTCTCTACATGTCGTATGTGATCACGATACGCACTTGCAATCCGTTGATCCTTATATTCGTCCCGGGTTCGCTGCGACATTATCTTATCCTCATACGGTGTTATTAATATTTGTTCCCCAAGTTCCCCTCCCTGGTTAACGTTTAAAAGTATTTATTTTATTCTTGCCCGACGCCTATACCCGTGTTTAGTATACGCACTCATGGTGTACATGTACGACTGAACTTGTGTTTACATGAGAGAAGTACCATTTACATTTGTGCGCGTTTTCCTGCATGTAAAAAAAAAAAAAATAACAACAAAAAGGCCGCAAGAAAAACGCGTACCGCATTTAAAAACGAGTACGTGTATATATAATTAATCCATGTTTTTATATACACTGTACATTTATACATATCTCTCGTACATATTTTTATATATTTGTGGGTCCTTCCTCTCATTGTGTGTTCTCTGGCGTTATTCTCGTATACCCCCGTGCGCACTTGTGAACCCTGGAGCCGCCGCCCCGCACGACCGCTGCGCAGCACACGCCAGTTGAAACATTTTAAAAAAATTAAAAAAACATTTTTAATTTACTTTTTGTTTTATTTGAAATATACATATATTTATATTTTTATATATATATATACATATTTTTTTTTTTTTATATATATATATATATTTTTTTTTTTTTTTCTCCTTTTATCCAAAATGATAAGAAAAAGAATGCTTAACTTATATTTTCTATTAATAACGGTATTAGTAGCGCTAGAAAAATATACGCCCGTTGATTACCAAAATACGTGCATGATTAGCAGGAGCTGTCGAAAAAACTCATGCGGAAATATCTCTCGCGTGCTAAGTGGAATTCATGTAAACAGAACGAGTACTAGGGCAAGGGCTTTGTTGAGCCTATCCTCACTGATTTACCATCTGCAGTTACCAAAACTCGTCAGCCTTGACTTGTTTCGAAGGGATCTGTTCACAGGTGTCAATCAGAAAGGGAGGAGGAATCCTGTACCCTCGTACATCATCCAAAATAGATTGATGAGTGAGAATATCGATAAGGGCAACACCAATATGAGCGCACAAGGAAATCAGGATAAGAAGAGACCCGGAACTGTGGATGCATCTGATGCTAACAACCAAGGTGCTAGTGGAACATGTACACAAGCTAAGCGCGTCAAGGGAATTGACCAGAACGAACAATCATCCAACGTATCGGGCTCTACCAACGCTGCATTTACAAGTGGAGTGAATACCATCATGGGAGATGACAATAACAATAATGGAAGCGGAAACGATGGAAAAAATGAACCCAAAATACACTACAGAACTGATTACAAACCAAGTGGTTTTGTCATCGACAATGTGACTCTCAACATCAACATCTTTGACAATGAAACATCTGTGAGGTCCAATTTGGATATGAAACTTAGCGAACACTACAAAGGAGAAGATCTTGTGTTCGATGGTGTCAGCTTAGAAATTAAAGAAATATCCATTGACAATAATAAATTGGTACAAGGAGAACACTACAAATATGACAATGAATTTTTGACCATTTATTCAAAGTATATTCCAAAGGGAAAATTCACTTTTGCATCTGAAGTTATCATCCATCCCGAAACGAATTATGCTTTGACCGGTTTGTACAAATCGAAAAATATTATTGTGTCTCAATGTGAAGCTACTGGATTCAGAAGAATCACCTTCTTCATTGACAGACCAGACATGATGGCCAAGTACGATGTAACAGTTACCGCAGATAAGCAGAAGTATCCCGTACTTTTAAGCAATGGTGATAAATTAAATGAATTTGACATCCCAGGTGGAAGACATGGAGCCAGATTTAACGATCCACACTTAAAACCATGTTACCTATTTGCTGTTGTTGCTGGAGATTTAAAACACTTGAGTGATAAATATGTCACCAAATTCTCCAAAAGAAATGTAGAATTGTATGTATTCAGTGAAGAGAAATATGTTTCCAAATTGAAATGGGCTTTAGAGTGCCTAAAGAAAGCTATGAAATTTGATGAAGATTATTTTGGACTAGAATATGACTTATCCCGACTCAATCTCGTAGCTGTCTCTGACTTCAATGTAGGTGCCATGGAAAACAAGGGACTCAACATCTTCAACGCAAACTCGTTATTAGCATCTAAAAAGAAGTCCATAGATTTTTCCTTCGAAAGAATTCTAACCGTTGTTGGCCACGAGTATTTCCACAACTACACTGGAAACAGAGTTACTCTCAGAGATTGGTTTCAACTGACTCTTAAGGAAGGATTGACTGTGCACAGGGAAAACTTATTCTCAGAACAGACTACCAAAACTGCCACCTTCCGTTTAGATCACGTAGATTTATTAAGAAGTGTTCAATTTTTGGAAGACTCCTCCCCATTGGCACACCCCATTAGACCAGAATCATATGTCAGCATGGAAAACTTCTACACAACCACCGTATATGATAAAGGAAGTGAAGTCATGAGAATGTACCAAACTATTTTAGGAGATGAGTATTACAAAAAAGGTATGGACATATACATTAAGAAGAATGACGGAGGTACAGCAACTTGTGAAGATTTCAACAGTGCTATGAATGAAGCCTACAAACTCAAAAAAGGAGACAGATCAGCCAACTTAGATCAGTACATGCTATGGTTCTCACAAAGTGGAACTCCACACGTAACTGCAGAATATTCCTACGATGCGGGTAAGAAAGAATTCGTAATTGAAGTTACACAAGTTACCCAACCCGATCCAAACCAAAAGGAAAAGAAGGCTCTCTTTATTCCGATAAGAGTTGGTTTCATTAATCCACACAATGGACAAGACGTCATTCCAGAAGTAACTCTAGAATTTAAAAAAGAAAAGGAGAAATTTATCTTTAACAATGTTAATGAGAAACCAATCCCATCCTTATTCAGAGGATTTAGTGCACCTGTATACATTAAGGACAACTTAACTGACGCAGAAAGAATCCTACTGCTCAAGTATGACTCAGATGCATTTGTACGATATAATGTATGTGTAGATCTTTACATGAAACAAATTATAAAGAATTATGAAGAATTGTTACAAGCAAAAGCACAAAGCAAACATGAAGGTGCTGCAAAACCAAAATTAACTCCCGTAAATGAAGACTTCATTAATGCCATAGAGTACCTGATGAAAGATCCTCATGCTGATGCTGGTTTCAAATCATACATTGTAACCTTACCAAAAGACAGATTTATTATAAATTACATTAAAAATGTAGATACAGATGTCTTGGCTGATACGAAAGATTTTATTTACAAACAATTGGGTGACAAATTGAACGATTTATACTTCCAAATATTCAAATCTATTCAGGCCAAAGCTGACGACATGACACACTTTGAAGACGAATCTTACGTCGATTTTGAACAACTGAATATGAGAAAATTAAGAAACACCTTATTGGCTTTATTAAGTAGAGCTAAGTACCCAAATATGTTAGAACAAATTATGGAACACTCTAAATCACCTTATCCTTCCAATTGGCTAGCCAGCTTAGCTGTATCAGCATACTATGACGAATATTTCGATCTGTACCAAAAGACCTACAACCAATCTAAGGATGATGAATTGCTACTACAAGAATGGTTAAAGACTGTTTCCAGATCAGACAGAAAAGATATTTACGACATTATTAAAAAGTTAGAAAATGAAGTACTAAAGGATAGTAAGAATCCAAATGAAATCAGAGCCGTTTACCTACCATTCACTAATAACTTAAGATACTTCAATGACATCTCTGGTAAAGGATACAAAATGATGGCTGATATCATTATGAAGGTTGACAAGTTTAATCCTATGGTAGCCACACAATTGTGCGAACCCTTCAAATTGTGGAACAAACTTGACTTGAAACGACAAGACATGATGCAGAAGGAAATGAACAGAATGCTCTCCATGGAAAACATCTCCAACAATTTGAAGGAGTACTTGTTAAGACTCACCAACAAGTTGTAAAATCGCCCACTTGCATTTATAACTATATTTCTATACATGTGTTTTATTTTCTCGACGCACGTGCTCACACAAGTGAAGTTGATTCTTCGCGCGTGCGGAGGGCAAAGGAACAAAAAACAAAAAAAAAAAAATATATGAACAGTTAAACGCACAAAATTTTTTAAGCGCACAAATATACATGCGATTGCACGTGCGGACATGCGTGCGAACAAACATATGAGTGCAGCCCGTTCGTGCACACATGCGCTCCCCCCTACACATTTCCACCATGCGCCTGGCTTGTGCACACCACCCATGAGGGTAACATAGACACAAACACCTAAAACAACAAAAGAACTCACATGTAAACAATAAAAGGTTTTACTTTTAAAAGTGTTCAATGTGCCACCCCGAACACATGGAGAGGTCATTAGATACCGTTTTTGCCTGCTGCAAGAATCCCCCTTTCTGCATTAGGCAACGTTAACCTCGGTGAGGTGAATTACGATGGTTGCGGTGATATAACACTGTGGAAGATCTGACAAGGGGCGGACCCAGTTCTACTCCGCGTCCAATTTCTTATCCTGAACAGCAGAACATGCCCCTTTTGCCACGTTTATCTGTCTCTTTGTTGTGTTAGTGCGAAGGAGAATGGGGAAAAACCCTTCACCTGAAGGTCGATTTGTACGTCCACTGTCATGATAACTCCAGTGGTGTTTTCACAAAGTACAAATCGAGCTCGATACAGGTCAGTTCCAATCCCCACGCCTCTGCGTAGTGATGCAAAGCAGCGCTTGTACTAAGCACGGCTATTTAAAATTATATTTCTCTGCCTATATGTGTTATCGTAAGTATCGTCATCCAACCTTTTCGCACCTTTCATTCAACGAAAAAAAAAAAACAAACAAAGGCACTACCATTCCACACAGTTCTACTCCCAACGCGTATTGTCAAAGGGGCTCTTCCCTACCACTCTGCATAAATAGTAGAGATGGTCGTTTTACAAAAATGGCTAAGACCATTCCGCTCCGTTACCAAGCGCACGCGATGTTACTCCTCACATGTACATTTTAAAAGAATTTGTTTACTCAAATGAACGATTATAACAAAGGCGGACAAAAATGCACTGTTGTCCTACGGAAACAGAACTATGCGTCACGCGTTCATACGTGTGCATGCACATACATGCGTTGTGCATAGGGGAATTTGTCCACAAGGTAGTTCCGTGCCTCCGACAAAATGGGACGCAAGTGTATTTTAAAAGTAATGTCCCTTCCCTTTTTCTTGGATCAGCCTCATCTAACGATTCGCACAGGGGTTGTGAAGGATAGCACACGAAAGAACATTTATCAACCTTTTTATAACTCAATATAGCGTCTAGCACGTGTGGGTGCTTCGCCACGTAACTGTAGTGCATATAACAATGCGCCCCTTCACACAAATACGGGAAAACGCTATACATTCTTCACCGTGGTGTGAAACTAGAAAACCCATTTTTTACACCCGTTCCTTACATGGATTTCAATTAACCCTTATAGATGAAAGTAAAAGTGTTCACCAGAACATGTACAAATCCTATTGCACTTGGTTAGCCTCCATACACGCACATACGCTTTTAATAGCACCGTACGTACATCCTTCCACCCTATTTTAAATTTTCCAACAGGTGGGGGGCACAAAAAAAAAGAACGAAAAAAAAAAAGGGGGGAAATGCTATTACGTGCGTAGGGAAAAAAAAATACACTAACGATACTTCCCCTTTAAAAGTATTCCAAATGGCATATTTGTAATGGCTTCCCAAAAACAAAAAGGAAACCAAGTTATGCGTATAGCTCAAAATAAATTTTCTTTCTATGAGCCGAAAAATTTTTTGAATTACTCCTTTAGGGGAAAAAAAAAAAAAAAAAACAGTTTTCAATGTGGATGATAGCGGGGGAATGACATCGTTTCCTTAAACACGTATATTATTACGCGCTTTATGAAAAAAAAAAAAATAATAAAAAGAGTGCGTAAAGGCGTAAATGCTTAAAGCCCTCACCGCCCATAATAATTATCCCAGCATTTACATATTGCCAACGAGATAATAAAGCATACGAATTGGCGAACCGAACAAAAGCACACGATTTACACAAATTCCGCAGCCCCTTAGCCGACTTGAGGCCAGTGCGCATACGTGCGTTTCGACCCTAGCCCAGTGGCCACGCGAAAAACAAGCATACCATATACATAAGTAGCAATATAGCAGTAAGTAGCATCAATCCACAGCTATTAGCAACAAATGGCAATTTGAAAAAGCAAAATAATAATATTAACAAAATTGAAACACAGTTCCCCTAAGAAAGGCTCCTCGCAAATTGATTACCTTTCGAGGAAGTTAATTAAACATTTGACTTCAAGGGAGTAAAACACGGCCTACAAAAACTATCGTGAATAAAAAAAAAAACCCTCCTTTGGCCATTTGTAAAATTTTTATATATACAAGAAATAATGCGCGCGATAAGTAATGAGTACAAATCTGAGTATGAATAAGCGCCAGTACATGTCAATGTGAATACTGTTTTTTTTTTTTTTTTTTTCCCATTCTCCCCCTGTACTTTTTTTTTTTGCAACATTTAATACGCTTCCGCGTTAGCCCCCCCTCCTGACACACCCGCAAGAAGCCTACCGCGCCCCCCCTGTTGAGCTTCTCCTTTTATCCTGCGCGAAAGCAGGTTTCCGTGCCATTGGGAAAATTCTTCTCACAAGAAGGAAAAAGTGTCCCCACACGCAGGACTCCCAATTTGAGTAAACGTCCCCCCAGTACTGGGCATCGGCGAAAAAGCCCATCTGTTTTTTTTTTTTTTTTTTTTTTTCCTCCTGTAAAACTCAAAAAAATGACGAAACCGTCCCCCGAAAATGAAGAACCCGGAATTGTCTACAAAGTGGCGGGTTCACTTGTCATTGCGGAAAACATGAGCGGTACTAGGATGTACGAATTGGCCAAAGTGGGATGGAACAAATTAGTGGGTGAAATTATACGATTAGAAGGAAATTATGCATATATACAAGTGTATGAAGACACTTCAGGGCTATCTGTTGGAGACCCAGTGACCAAAACGGGCAATGCCTTATCAGTAGAATTAGGTCCAGGAATACTAGACAATATATATGATGGAATTCAGAGGCCACTGGAAAGAATTGCTAATGTTTGTGGAGATGTTTATATTTTCAAAGGAATCGATATGACCTCATTAGATCACGATAAGGAGTGGCAATTTTATGCAGATAAAAATGTAAAATTAAATGACATCATCACAGGTGGAGATATATTCGGTTATGTTGATGAAAATAAATTATTTAAAGAACACAAAATTATGGCTCCTCCAAATGCAAAGGGTCGAGTGACGTACATTGCTCCAGACGGCTCATACACTTTAAAGGATAAAATTTTTGAGCTAGAATATCAGGGAAAAAAATATACCTATGGCTTGTCACACCTTTGGCCAGTGAGAGACCCAAGGCCAGTTTTAGAAAAGGTAACTGGTGACACTTTACTACTAACAGGACAACGTGTGTTGGATTCATTATTCCCTACTGTGCTGGGAGGCACTTGTGCTATTCCTGGTGCATTTGGTTGTGGAAAGACCTGTGTTTCTCAGGCCTTGTCAAAATATTCCAATAGTGAAGTAATTATATATGTAGGTTGTGGTGAAAGAGGAAATGAGATGGCTGAAATTTTATCCGATTTTCCAGAATTAACAACCAAGGTAGATAATGAAGATGTTGGTATTATGCAAAGAACATGCCTCGTGGCCAACACTTCTAATATGCCTGTGGCAGCAAGGGAGGCAAGTATATACACTGGGATTACCCTGTGTGAATATTTTCGTGACATGGGGTATAATGCTACTATGATGGCAGATAGTACGAGTAGATGGGCTGAAGCTTTAAGAGAAATTTCTGGTCGTTTAGCAGAAATGCCTGCAGATAGTGGGTACCCAGCATACCTTGGTGCTAAACTAGCTTCCTTCTACGAACGAGCAGGGAAGGTCAAATGTATTGGGTCTCCATCTCGCATGGGTTCTATCACCATCGTAGGTGCAGTATCCCCACCAGGAGGAGATTTCTCAGACCCAGTCACAACAGCCACCATGTCCATCGTCCAAGCCTTTTGGGGATTAGATAAAAAATTAGCACAAAGAAAACATTTCCCCTCTGTTAATTGGTCCACATCTTTCTCCAAATACGTAAGGCAACTGGAGCAATATTTCGATAATTTTGATCAAGACTTCCTTTCACTAAGACAAAAAATAAGTGACATTTTACAACAAGAGAGTGACTTAAATGATATTGTCCAGCTGGTTGGAAAGGACTCCTTGTCAGAGGACCAGAAAGTGGTTATGGAAGTTGCTAAAATTATTAGAGAAGATTTCCTTCAACAAAATGCTTTTAGCGATTATGATTATATGTGCCCTTTGCAAAAAACAGTTGGTATGATGAAAATTATTTGTCACTTCTATGCTCAGTGCTTGAGAACTCTACAAGAATATGATTCACGAGAGAGGAAAATCGGATGGGGTTCCATTTACAACACTTTGAGGCCTACTATTAATAAAATTACTCACATGAAATTTGAATCTCCAAAAAATACAGATGAGTATTTTAAAAAGTATTTCAAAGCTTTGGAGGATGAAATAACTGTTGGTCTTCGAAATTTGGTAGAGAAGTGAGAGCAGAGGACGCCTTCTATACTAGTGCAAATATTCTATACACCTGCGTCTCGTCTTCCTTAACGTTGTCTTTCTTTATATATATATATATATATATATATATATAGAAGGGGGGGGGGGGCAACCTGCAACAGTACATTTATGTTTGTATGTGTGCATACATGTATGTATATATATGTGTTTGTGTGCGCGGGTGAACCTGCGTGGAGTTAAATGATAAAATGAATGCACATTACCCTACACGCTCAGCGTGCATTGTATATATAGTTAGCAACATCCCGTGTGTTCCCTTTTTTTTTTTTTTCCTTCCCC